ATTTAGAAATAAGAAAAATACCCAACATGCAGTTTTATCTATGTACAACAAATAAATGTAAAGCAGTGCACATAATTATAATTATTATATGCATGGAAGAGTTTCGGTACATTTAATCCCCTGTCTAGCTAATATCCAGTAATGAACCAACTTTAAAAAGTTAAGTTCAGGCACAGTGGCTTATGCCTGTAATCCCAGCACTTTGGGAGGCTGAGGCAGGTGGATCATTTGAGCCCAGGAGTTCGATACTAGCCTGGGCAACTTGGGAAAACCCATCTCTACCAAAAACTACAAAAAATTAGCCAGGTGTGGTGTTGTACACCTGTAGTCCTAGTTACTCAGGAGGCTGAGGTGGGAGAATCACCTGAGCCCCAGAGGTTGAGGCTGCAGTGATCTGAGGTTATGCCACTGCACTCCAGCCTGGGCATCATAGTAAGACTCTATCTCCAGAAAAAAAAAAAAAAAGTTAAACTGCAAAATTAGTTTCTACATTTTATAAACTTTTTATTAAAAAATTCAATAGCAGCTTCCTAGATTTAAAAAAAAAAATCAAACAATATATATGAGTTTTAATGAGATTCTCCCCTCCATGCTAGAAAATGTGTATTTTAGTCATTAAGGAACTTACCCAGTGTCTCCATATATCATCCCTCCCAAAAGAATTGGAAAGAAATAAATGGAATATGCTCCATTTCCTCCAGGTAGGACCCAAAGAGTGCTGCATCTTCTGTAAAAAGCAGGGTGACTAACCATTTGCTCAGGATTTTCAGGGTATAGCAGTGATAGTCTCATGTCCCCTGAAACCCTGAGATCCCCAGCAACCACAGCAATTGGTCACCCTAATTCAGGTGGCTTCCCTAGTAAAGATTGTTACATCTTACTCTGTGAATGGAGAACCACTTTTTTTTAAGCTTTGCAAGTATTCATTTTCATTTTATTCAGTTTCAGTCTTTCTTCCCCTTTATTTCTTCCCTGTCATTTTAGTTCTTGTACCCACTACATGAGCTAGAGGCATGTTTTTCACTCTTGGTTATTCACAATGCTTTGTTTTTAGTTTTCTTGAAAGAGCTTGTCCAGAAAGGGGACCTAATGTGCCTGATTTTTTGATGGTTTGTTTTGATTCCCTTCTTCACTACGTATTTACTTTGGCAGCCACACCATTTCTGCCTACTTCATCTAAAGAGAATATCCCATCATAGAAGGGCAGATGTGTTTGCTGTGGCTCTGCTTGGAAAACAGCTCAGCGTTGCCCTTCTCTTGGGCTGCACCAAGGGCATGATATCACTCAGTGGGTAACTGTTCACTGCCTGGGACTTCTGCTGATTAGGAGCTCTCTGCATCCATAGGCCATGCTGCAAACCACATATTGCATAGTAAGGAGCTGTCTAGACTTGAACCTTTAAATTTATGAAAAATTGGCAAATCTGGTTTGCATAATTCATTGGGTTGCTTCTTTTTGCATTTCTTGTATGATTTTAAAAAATTGTTTTCCCCTGATAGTGAGTTTCTAGCACTCTGGTCTACTCAGCTGTGTTATTTCCTAAACAGCTAAAGAGAAAAATTGTCACAGATACAGGCTGTGAAATTCTCCCTAGTTGAAAATAAGCCACATATGTCAGTATTCATTCAGAAGCAGAAATTTGCTTTTCTCTGTGCTTTTTGAAAACCTAAAAGCAGTTTCAAGTCATCTTCCAACCTATATCTGTCTTTTAGCAGCGCAAAAGCACAGTTTCCTAGAAATGACTGAGGCTTAAGCACACAGTCATGTGCTGATATATACAGATTCTATCCATTCATTGGCAAAGAGAAGTGCTTTAAACTTACTGGTAATTAAATGTGCCACTAATTGTGTCTACGACAGTGACAATGTAACAAGTAGAACAGCCAAGTAGATTTAAACCTCATTCAAGTAACATTCTGCCATTTGTGCTGCTTATCCTCCTTGGGCTTTGCAATCCTGGCTGTGAATATCAGGACCCGTCCAGCCCAGGTATCCTTGGAAGCCTCTTCAGTTTGGCACTTTATGAAACAGCAAGATAATGACTTGTTGAGACTAATCAAACCCACATTATAGAATGAGACCTAGGTAATCAAATTTATGGTTCATATAAATCAAATGATATAAACAACCAACTCCAAATCACATAAAGTGTACAACTTGATGCACACTTTAGTCCGGAGTGGGCGAGAGAATGGCCCTTTGTTCTGGTGCTGCCTTGTTTCCTCTTTCTTCCTCTGGTGCCATCTGAGTCTGTGGATGTTCTTTGGGCTATAGCTGTCCTTGTCTCACTCAAGTCAGCACCTCAATGCCACTATTTACATCAAAGCATCATGGACAGTTCTCAGTTTCTGTATTTGTAACTGTTGAATGTTTACCTGAGGGAGGGAGGGGCTTTTGATTGCAAGAGACAGAGAATTCCCCTGGGTTACTTTACTGGAAAAGGGGTATTTATTGTAAGCATATATGTTGACAGAAACTCTTGGAAGTAGCTGCTTTCCCCGGCTCTCACAGTCATGTGGTCTCCTTCTTCCATTGTGTCTCTGCTTCTCTTTTTTTGTTGTATTCTCGTCCCTCGACAGATAACATTCTTTGGCTTACTCATAATTTCCCCTTCCTCGTAAGTTCAGTTTTCACACATTTCTCCAAGCCTCCTTCTAAATCTAGAACTTTATGCTGCAGCTCCAAACGTTAACTGGCTCAATCTCTTTATTTTTTCTGAAAGTCCCAGTGTGACACAGATTATTATGGATTTTAATACTTGTCTCTCCCACCTTACTTGATGCTTCTTGAGCATAAGATGTTGTCTATTTTCCTTGCCACTGTATACCCACGGTGCCTAGAACAAAATAGGTACTGAGTACATATTTTATGAATGAATAAAATGTGCAGAAAAATCTGAAATCCCCTAACTGTTCTTGGTTGGGGGAATTTTCTACCTGAGTTGAACTGGCTGAGTCCTCTCAAACATGAGTCCATTTGGAATGAAGTCATCTTATTCTTTTCTTAGTTCTCTTCCAAGAACCTCAAATGGCTTTCCAATTTAAGGCCAAAATTTTCCATAAAAATTGATGCGATAAAACATTTAAATAGTAAATGTTGGGACAGAGATTGTTTCCATGGTGACTTCTGCTTCAGGAATCTTTGTTCTAAGCACTGAAGAGAATGACTGAGCTGACACACCACTAACTTCACATCATCCAGTTGCCATTAACCTAAATCCAGCCAGCTTTATCAGTGCCGATGGCAGCGACCTTGTCTTTGATTCATTCCTGGGGGGTTCTTATTTTGGCAAAATGAGTTCATAAAGGAGGTGAAGGTGGTGGAAAAGGTATTTCAATCCTGCTATTGCAAGTTGAGATGTGAGCCGGGTGTGGTGACTCACATGTGTAATCTCAGCACTTTGGGAGGCTTGGGCAGGATGATTCCTAGAGCCCAGGAGTTCGAGGCCAGCCTGGGCAACATGAGATCTCATTTCTACAAAAAATTTTAAAAATTAGCTAGGCACAGTGGTGCACACCTGTGGTCCCAGCTACTCAAGAAGTGAGGTGGGAGGATGGCTAGGTGGGAGGATGGCTAGACCCAGGTGTTCCAGGCTGCAGGGAGTTGTGTTTGGTTCAGTGCTCTCTGGCCTGGGCCACAGACCAAGACTCTGTCTCAAATAGAAAGAAAGAGAGAGAAAGAGATAGAAGGAAGGAAGGAGGGAGGGAAAGAAGGAAAAGAGGGAGGGAGGGAGGGAGGGAGGCAGGGAAAGAAGGAAAAGAGGGAGGGAGGGAGGGAGGCAAGGAGGGAGGGAGGAAGGATGGTGGGCCGGGCACGGTGGTTCATGCCTCTAATCCCAGCACTTTGGGAGGCTGGGGTGAGTGGATCACCTGAGGTTGGGAGTTCAAGACCAGCCTGGCCAACATGGAGAAACCCCATCTCTACTAAAAACACAAAATCTTAGCTGGGCGTGGTGGCAGGTGCCTGTAATCTCAGCTACTTGGAAGCCTGAGGCAGGAGAATCACTTGAATTTGGGAGGCAGAGGTTGCAATGAGCCGAGATTGCACCATTGAACACCAGCCTAGGCAACAAGACGGAAATTCCGTCTCAAAAAAAAGAAAGAAACGAAGTTGAGATGTGCTAACACTTACCTGTCAAATGACTTTTCTCTTTGTGCGGTGCCAAAGTTTTCTGACTTTCACTCGGAAAAGTATATGAGTATATGTCTGGGTTATATTCTGTCTGTGTTCCCAGCCACACTGCAATAATGGGGTAAAGGCGGAACAACTTCCTAAGTGCAGACCAGATGTTGAACAATGGCCTTACTGTCCAAAACATGGACAGCAGATACTTCTTTTGTGACCCTCTGCTTTCTCCAATTAAACACTCCTTGTTCTTTTTCAACCATTTCACGAAATGATCTTTTGGTAGCAGAGACCACTGCCATGTGGTTTGCTGTTATGAACCTAAACTTTCTTTTCTTATTGTTTCATCACAAGACAGATAACATTATTTTCACCAACATTCTGAAAATTATCTAAGTAAACGTATTCCCTTCAACATAGTTACCTTGGGAGAAAAAAATGTTTATTCCAATGACATGGTTATTGCCCAAAACATGTCTAGAACTCCCATCTCCATGCCACTAACTTGCTTCTCTCATATTCTGAAGCATGTGGAATGCAGCTCTATAGGAATATATGGCTAAAGATATGAATACACATGGGTTTTCATTTTATTTGACCTATAACGCATTTACACCTACCTCATCTTTTTCTTTCTAAATAATGAAAGATCCAAATACTGAATGAACACTCTCATATTTATAGTAATGTCCACATTTGTTCATGGATAACTGTGTAACTCTTTACTTGACCCTAACTTTAGAAACTGCCCATATAGCACCTCAAATTTGATATTAATAGCTATTAAAAATGCTATTATCTGTTAAGTGGAATTTTAGGTTTCATTGCCTAAAACCTAAAATGGAAGTAAAGTGGATTTTCTTGTCATCTACAGGAAATGTTTGATGTTATATTGGATGAAAATCAGCTTGAGGACGCGTGTGAACATCTAGGGGAGTACCTGGAGGCATACTGGCGTGCCACCCATACAACCAGTAGCACACCCATGACCCCACTGCTGGGAAGGAATTTGGGCTCCACAGCACTCTCACCATATCCCACAGCAATTTCTGGGTTACAGGTATTGTCACTTTGTCGCTCGTGCTTTTTACAATTTTACGTGTAAAATTCTTTGGGAACTTGATTATGATGGAGACTTTAGTCATCCTTAATCTGAAGAGTGCACATTATATTTAAAAATCTTAAATATTATCTAATTAGGATCTATCCTAGAGAAAGCTACCCAGAGAGTGATCATTTCCTGAGAAACTTTGCTCTCTGTTAATTTATAATGGATTTTACTTAGGTAAATTAACCTTACCTACATGTAAACTCTGCTGGGAAACTTAATGCCTATTCAGTGCACCTGCCCATTACTTTTTTTTAGAGACATAGTCTCGCTCTGTTGTCCAGGCTGGAATGCAGTAGTATGATTATGGCTCACTGCAGCCATAAATTTCTGGACTCATGAGCTCATGCAATCCTGTTGCCTCAGCGTCCCAAATAGCTGGGACTACAGGCACACACTACACACATGGATAATTAAAAAAAAAAAAAAATCTATAGAGACAATGTCTCACTTTGTTGCCCAGGACGGTCTCAAACTCCTGGCTTCAAGCAATCTTCCTGCCTTAGCCTTCCAAAGTGTTGAGATTACCGTCATGAGCCACCACTCCTGGCCCCTCCATTACTTCTTAATGCTACTTCGTAAGGATTACACAATAGCTAAGTAAAATATATGGGTGCAGATAGGCCTTTCAACTGCCCTTAACTAATCCTGCCCCACCCAGGTTGCTAGGCCTGCTCTCTACCTTGCACAAGACAATGTGGATATAAGTAGAGTTGCTCTGTTCAGAAACAGTAACCGATCCCTGAGTTTTCTTGGAGTTTTGCAGGGGCTCACCTTTGTAAGTGGCTGTGGTATGTGTCCTTTAGGGATGCTGAGGACGAACACAGGATCAAGAGGTTTTCTCTTCTGCTGTTCTGGGGCTGCACTCAGAGGTAGAGATAGGGAGCCAGAGACCTCATGGTATGAGATAAGCCTTGTCTTTCTACATCGATTATTGTTTACTATTTATCAGGTAGCTGCTGGAATGTGGCCAAACCTGCAGCAAACTGAGGAACATGTAGTCAATTGAGGCCTCTTGTATCATGATGAGTTTTGTTTTAATGGGTTATAATGATAGTCATAATTGTCGATCATATGGAGTTAACTCTGAGATAAATGACACTCTCTGAAATGCTATTATAGCTGTATTACTCTGTTACCAAATTGTACCTTTGTAAGCAGAAAAACTGCCACACATATGAATAGGTTTTGAAACTAGAAATGAACATGAAAAATGTACTATGGTAATGTACAGCACATATACATGCATTAGGACTATTTCCTGCCTTGTTTCACTTCCTTGGGCTGATCTGAGTGTACATTACCATTGACTAGTTTGGATCGGCTCTGAATTGTACATTGTGGAATGAGAAATAGATGCATGAAGCAATATGCTTCTGTAACGTAGGTAGAAATGCAATGTTGCACTTTTGTAATGAATGCAACACTCTTGGCTCATCACTGCTAAGACATCCACCTAGAGTGGTTCTCCCTGTTTCACTAATGAGTTAATGTATTACCCTTTATTCTGTGGCCTATTTCTTCTCATGGTAACTATTGATACTTCATTGTTAGACATCTGCTTGAGGTTAAAGGCACAGTCTGTGACCTGTCAAATGAACTTCCTTCTGCCTGAATCTGAATGTATTTTAGATGAGATGTGTGTGGGCTCATGGTTTCAGCAGTATCCTGTGCCTTAAATGATGTGACCTACCTAAACTGGTAGATACAATTAGCTAAATGTTTTCTCATAGTGAAGAAAAATGTGGAATAACATTTTCTGAGCCATCAAATAAGTATCTTAAGATACTAATTTCAATTAATGATATTTGAGGAATTTAGCTTATATTGGAAGATTATTTTGCAGGACATTTTAGTTGAGGAAGCAATGTTTGTAAATGTATCAGTTAGTTGGCTTTATAATTATTGTATACACCCTTGGAATGATTATTACATTTATATAGGATGCAGAAACAGACACTTTTTTTTTTTGAGATGGAGTCTTGCTCTGTTGCTCAGGCTGGAGTGCAATAGCGTGATTTCAGCTCACTGCAAACTCTGCCTCTCAGATTCAAGCAATTCTCTGCCTCAGCCTCCCGAGTAGCTGGGATTACAGGTGCCCATCACCACACCTAGCTAATTTGTGTATGTGTGTGTGTGTATTTTTAATAGACACAGGGTTTCACCATCTTGACCAGCCTGGTCTTGAACTCCTAACCTTGTGATTCACCTGCCTCAGCCCCCCAAAGTGCTGGGATTAGTGGGTGTGAGCCACCGCACCCAGCCACAAACATTTTATTTTATGAACAGCACAAGTAATAATTTTATTAAAATTTTTTAAAGGTATAAGGAGGCCGGGCATGGTGGCTCATGCCTGTAATCCCAACACTTTGGGACGCCAAGGAGGGTGGATCATGAGGTCAAGAGATCGAGACCATCTGGCCAATATGGTGAAACCCCGTCTCTACTAAAAAATACAAAAAATAGCTGGGTGTGGTGGCACACGCCTGTAGTCCCAGCTACTCGGGAGGCTGAGGCAGGAGAATTGCTTGAACCTGAGTGGTGGAGGTTGCAGTGAGCCAAGATTGGGCCACTGAACTCCAGCCTGGCACCTGCTGACAGAGCAAGACTCTGTCTCAAAAAAAAAAAAAAAAAAAAAGGTATAAGGAATATTCAGTTAGATCAAGGTGAGGTGTGTTACTTTAGAAAAAGAAAGATTATGCCGGGCGCGGTGGCTCACGCCTGTAATCCCAGCACTTTGGGAGGCCGAGGCGGGTGGATCACGAGGTCAAGAGATTGAGGCCATCCTGGTCAACATGGTGAAACTCCGTCTCGACTAAAAATACAAAAAATCAGCTGGGCATGGTGGCACGTGCCTGTAATCCCAGCTACTCAGGAGGCTGAGGCAGGAGAATTGCCTGAACCCAGGAGGTGGAGGCTGCGGTGAGCCGAGATTGCACCATTGCACTCCAGCCTGGGTAACAAGAGCGAAACTCTGTCTCAAAAAAAAAAAAAAAAAAGAAAGAAAAAGAAAGATTATATGAATTCAAGAGATTTAAATAAAATAATAAATGCTATTCTGAACTTTATTTCCCAATAGTAAAATAATTTTCACTTTTGCAATAGAAATTGAATTATTGGGCCTTCCTAAATACATTAAGTTTCCATTTAACAGTTAGCTTTCAATTCTGCATTTGCAATAGGTAGCACAGTCATTCAGCACTGTGGAATTAAATTCATAAACTGTCAACAACACTCTCTGGCATCTTTTCATGTTGTGTCCCAAATAAATAAAAGCAGATATTCTGAGCAGGCTATTATTGGTGCATCAGAATGCCTTATTAAGTCATATATTAAGCATCTTATTGTACGGATCCTATTATTTTACATACATTTACATGTTTAGATGAATGAAGCTGACATTATTTAATCAATGAACTATCTGATATTTTTAGAGTCAGCGAATGAGGCACAGCAACCACTCCACAGAGAACTCTCCAATTGAAAGACGAAGTCTAATGACATCTGATGAAAATTATCACAATGAAAGGGCTCGGAAGAGTAGGAACCGCTTGTCTTCCAGTTCCCAGCATAGCCGAGATCATTACCCTCTTGTGGAAGAAGATTACCCTGACTCATACCAGGACACTTACAAACCCCATAGGAACCGAGGATCACCTGGGGGATATAGCCATGACTCCCGACATAGGCTTTGAGTCTGATGAAACAAAAAATATTCATCTGTTGACAATTTGCCATAGCAGTACTAGGATAAACCAATCATCTTAACTTGGCTAACACGGCACAGTATTTACTGTGCTAATGGGCTGCTGTCATTTGATGCTAAGTAAGGGGCAAAAAATAAAAATTACATTATGCCCTTGAGTCTAGATGGATATTAGATGCCCGATCATATAGATATTTTTAAGTGCAACATTTACATGATAACAGTACATTTTGTTTTCTTCATAGATGTAGACACATCAATTTGTAATTTAGGGTACTTAGAAGGCACATATAAAATAATTTCCCATGCTGGAAATTCCAAATGACCAGTTCCAGTTGGAACCAATTTATAAACCAATTCCTGTTGGAATTTGGGTAAATTGACTAGAAAGTCTGCTTGAGCATGTTGCAATGATTGAAAAAAATCTTGGGAAAAAAAACCCTAATGATAAGAAAATCAAAATACCAATAGAAACCAAATCCAGCTTTGGTATTTATTTGTTGGGAGCTAAATTTACACTTAAAGTTGGAATGTATAAACATTTTAATATATGTTAATGTTGCCAGAATGACTTTTCAGACTTACCAAATGTATTGATAGTGCCAAAAATCTCAGAAATCTTAATGCAGAAATTATATAGTCTCCTCAGATTTTAATATTTTTATTTCTTTCCTGGCACAGCTGTTGTATTCAAAGTGTTTTGCTTTTTGTTTAGTCAGTACTGTTAGCTTGTTTGAAGTTGGCAAAAACAAACAAGCAAAAAAACCTCAAAATTTTTTCAGCAGTGAGAGAGAACAGTAAAGAGAAGCCCAAACATAGCTGGTTATATGAAATATAAAATGGGGTGTTGTTCTCCCTTTAATCAATCTGATCACAACTGCATACATCCAGGAATCTGAAGTCAGATAGTAAGGATGTGGTACCAATCCTCCTGAGTGCAAAGCTAAACACTTGCAGATGGGAATTCATCTAGTCCACTTAACACAAACACAGGGTCAGTATTTCCCGCCAACACGATGGAGTATCTTTCCATTACTTCTCTCAGTCTCTGTCTTTGGATATCTGAATGTTCTGGCCCTTCAACAAATTCTTTAAATCATGCTGAGGATTTTTGTTTTATGTGGACACATTCAACTTTGATGTTCAAGAGGTGTTTTTTTTTGTTTTTGTTTTTTTTACAAAGTGACTAATTGAAAAAAGTTAAAACAAATGATGATTTTAAAAGCTTGCAGCAAAAAATAAACTCATAGATTCAGAAAATATTTGTTAACTAAAATTATAGCATTTTTAATGCAGAAAATTATAAAGAATTTGGAGTTTGAGCTGCCTTATTTCTTCTAATGAACACTCCTCTTCATCTTATTAAGTCTTCACAGTTTTCCAATGGCTATGATTATGGAATTGGTGACCTAGGTTTTATATTATTAAGGAAGACTTAGATTCACTATGATCCAAGAAATTATTGAAATTGACCCTTTTTACACAAATGTCTTTGAAAAAAATAACTCTTGTTTCTAAAGGTCTACAATGCATGCATTTTCTAAAACCCCAATAAATCCAGGCATAAAAGTCCTTTTCTGCTAGTACATGTCATGAAGCCTATTTTTGAAAATAATGATAATTAATTTTATATTCTGTTTTCCCCAAGCTTGTCAATATTTAGGCACTCAAAGCATGCACCAGTTCAGTAATCTTCTTGACCATGGAAATAAGTTCCATATTATTGATTAGCTATACATATCTTGAACCCCATTACAACCTCACCACATGCCCCCTGCCTTTCTGTTCACTGTATGTACCCCATTATGAACCTGTTTAGCTGATAATGAGGATACCTATAATTCTGTAAGTCATTTCAAATATTTGATACAATTAAAAAATATGGGCTTAGTAAATTTTAAAAGTTAACATGTGATACTGGCTTGTGAGATTCTTCTGTCATCTAGTGAAGCTTATAAAACTTTCAGTTAAGACATTTTAAAAGAGTTATATCCATTAGGCACTTTAATAAACATATAACCTGCCATTACTGAATACTTTGCTAGAACACAGAAGAGCATCTTCCAGCAAACAAAAATATATTTATTACATGTACAGCACATACTTGCATGAGAAAGAAAACATTAGCCAAAACATTTTTCTATATGCTTTGCTGGTTTCTTGTTTGTGCGCATTAAAGTATTTAATTGCAAAGAGTGCACCAAGGTGTATAAATTTAGACTAGACAGCTGTTCAGCTTTTTCTGTAGTAGCATTAGCAATTTGGTCATTTAACTACTTTAAGATATTTATATTTTATGGCAGGTAGCTGTAACAGCATTTACATATATTTCCTAGTCATCAAGATTACCATCTTCTTTCAACTTTTTTAAAGTCACTTGTTTTTAAAGGCCTCTCAAAGCCTTGTTTCCAGTCTTCCATGTCATGCTGATAAAGAGAGGCTCATTCAATATCTGTGCACAAAACCAATCTATTATTTACCATCAGATGTCCATACCTGTTTTGCTTTCCATTCTTATTCAAAAGCAAACAATCTTGGAAAGGGTATAATGTCTATTTTATTGATGGATACATTTAAATGTTTACTTTAATTTGGCATATTGTTTCCCCTTCCTTCTGCAGTAAGTTTATCTTCCTCAAATAAGGGATATACATCTTATTTTTTTTAAAGATTTAAGAGTTTATTGTGTAAATGATACTTAAAATCTAGATATATACTAAATGAAAAGTTTTATTTTTTGCCAAGCACACCAAGCACCTTTGAAAAATACATATTCCATAAATACTTTGTTTTTAATTAATTTTATTTAAAGATAAAAAAATATAAGCAGGAAAAGCAAGTCTTTTACTGTTTTGAAGCTGTTTTACAGCATAAGCCACATACTAGAATTCTGTGATTTCAGTTACAGACATATAACAATGTGGACTCATGTAACAGTGTAGAAATGTAGTACTGGAAAAAAGGGAATGCAATTTGTCAATCCTGATGTTAACTCTCAAGGGTATAATGTGACTCTAATATTATAACCAACAACATTATCTTGTTTACCATTTAAAGCAACACTTAGAATTGTTTATAAATGATGATTCTCTCTTATCTTTATACAGTTCCATTGGAGAGAAGGTTGAAATTGCTAACAATTTAGACTGATGATCTTTCCTAATAAGAATCTTAATTTTGTGACTACATAAGTCGTTGCAGTTAATCTTTAATGAAATGAATTTTACTAACGTGAAACAAATCCTGAGACAATTATTTGTTCCCTTTAAATAATTTGCTATTTAATTATTGTTGTTGTTTGCAAAATGTATTTTTGGAATGTTAACCTCTTTTCATACCTGCATACTTGAACTTGTCTTTTGTGTGGGGGCCTTAAAATTCATAATAGGAAGTGGAAGCAGTGAAAGGAAGTAAGGAAAGGAAATTATGCCAAAAGATGTTTGCAAATTTAAACTCTTTAAATGAACATATCACAAAATGTTGTTAAGACCCAGGATGTCCATTAAGAATGTTTCTTGGCAACCTTAATTTGCATGTTAGTATATGTTTTCTTAAACAGTTGTATTTTGGTATTTGCTTTAAAAATGTGATACCACTATAGAAATTACCCTATGTATGGATATATTTACTACCTCTTCTCTAGAGAAGACAATCTGTCTTTAAAGGGAAAAACACCTGTCAATAAGTAGTGATCAAATTTCTTACTATTCTGGCTAACCTTGCTGCAAAGCTAAATGCATAGAGTGTTAAAAATACGCCTTCCCTTTAGATTTCAAACTGTTTCCAAAATGCTCTTGGCACCCTTTTTGTTTCTTCCATGTTAGCAAAGTTTTCTTGAATTGGTTCACAGCTTATCATGAGGCAAGGTTAATTTAACAGATAAGTCATCATAGGGAACAGAAACTGCAAGGGGATTGCCTTTGTGTGCAACTTGTTATAATATCTAGTTGTAAGTCTAAAAGAAAGTAGAGGTCCAGAGACTTTATGTTTAAGAGCAGCTGGTTTGCAAATTTACATTTTGTTGATCCTTGACTTATACAGAGACCCAGAGCATGACTTAGCCATTTACTGGGTAAGGATGTGCATTACCTTGGACTCCCATGTAATTGGAATAAACTTCATATCAATGTTTCAAATAAATGCTATGTACCCCTTATTCCTTTTATATTTCTGCCTTTGTCTTTTATGACAATGTTGCATGTTTTTTTTTTAATTATATAAAACTCATCCTTGAATGACTATATGAATGAAAACTCTATAGGAAATTATGTAATAAAATCTGTTTTATTAGTTTCTCATACCTTTAAATACTGTCAATACTATAACTGTTACTAAGTTACTTACTCAAGCTGTGTCTATGGGGCAGAGAACAGTCTTCTTTAAAATGACAATCATGATCAAACCAGTCAAGTCAATTAGCTGTTAGACAGACAATAAGGATGACCTTCTTTTTGACTTAAGCAGTCAAGTTAGTCAAAATAGTAAAATTGGCTCACATAGATACCCAGAACAACAGCATTCAAAAATTACTTTTAAAACGTTTTTTCTTTTATTAAAATGGCCTTTCTTAAATGAAATACATCCTTTGATATCAACTATCTCTTTTAACTTGTAGATCATTAATTCTAAATGCTTCATGTAATTGAGGGATATTATGAGAAGACAAAGTATCTCATCAGATAATCCTAAGGGTTGTAACTTCTACTTGCCATAAACAAAGTATAATTAAGAGTGAATAGCAATTGGTTTGGGGGAGTCATAGTTATAGATGAAACTTTCTTTTGTTTCTCATGATATACCATTTGCAAAAGGATGGTAGAAAATGTTACTGATGAATTTAGAGTGGTTTGGGAGAATATACTGATACTTCCTCATTTGAAAATTATAAGGAGTGAAAAGGGGAACTAAGAACCAGTAGTGGCTGGCCTCTAGCTTTTCAATACTTCGTAAGTGTTCTTGGTTATGTTTTGAACACTTAAATTTCTCAACCAATGGCAGTGTCTATATTTATGTAGGGGCCACTCTTGCCCTACTTGCATGCCACTTTCACACACTTTTAACTGAAATCAGTGTGAATTCTGTATGCATAAGGGATGTATTAAAGATGCGGGATCATTAACACTATATTGTTGCATACTATTTTTCATATGCCTTACAATATTTTCTGGGACGTTATTAAAATGAAAGCATTTTATTGCCAAAATAAATCTATGTTGTTACTTATAATCTGCATTAGCAGTAGAAAAATAATGTAGCAAAGACATATATTGTACAGTACAAAATTATAAAATATATATTTTGCCAATATGAAAATAGGTTGAGGAGAAAGAAGCACATTTGTTATAGCACAAACTTATAACAAAATCCACTGTTAAATTTGGCGGTCATATTTTTTAAGAGTATGTCCATTTAGTTCTAAGTTTTATCAGATTTACTTCATCTATCATCTTTTAAACTTGCTGCTTGATACTTTTCTGGGAATTTACTTCATAGCCTTGCAATCTGTGGATGTAATTTCTTTTGTTTTATTCCCTTCCACGAAACTTATTAAATTTTATTTTGTGATAACACTCATACTATATTTTCTCTTCTTATTTCTTCTCTTTCAATAGCGACAGAAAGTCACAGCAGGTGAGCTCATAGGGCTCCTCTGAATTTTGGACATGTTTGAAATGTTCATATTTTTCACAGCCTCAAGTCAGAATGATCAATACAGATGTCCCAGCAACAACAAAATTATATTAGTGATTCTTTCATTTGTTTTGTATGGAATACTACTTTGACACATAAGTTAAAGCCATTAGCTGTGTTTTTGAAGGGATGGTGGGTGAGAATAAAAATAAATGTATTAACATAAAACATGCTAAATCAGAAATATGGCAAAATGATGTAAAACAATTTTTCCTACTATTCTGAGGGCTGTTGAAATCCCAGGCTATTGCTATATCTCCATTGACAAAGTGGGATCAAAAATGCCTTTGTCAAATAATTTTCTTTCTTTCTTTCTTTCTTTAAATTTTAGTTATTTATTTTAAGAACTTGTCCCCTTTTATTTTTCTGATATAGGTATGTGTAGCATTCTACAAGGCATGCTGGGTAAAATATACTATGCAAATGTGTACAGTGCTGCATGCTTTGTTCTCCCTCTGCTCTAGTGGCTTTAAAAAAAATGTGGTGTTATTTTTGTGAATAAAAACGTTTAACAAAGAAAATGCAGAGTGCATGCATAGAGTATCCTAATTTCTATGGATTTGTTTTATGGAATTCAAATGTGTACAAAACAACTGCATTACTTTTTTTCTTTTATATAATAAATGAAAAAAAAAACACTGAAATCAGCGTTATACCTCTCCTTTATATTATTCTAGAAATATATTGAAGAAATACTGGAAATCAGTAGGTACTCTTTTAAGAAGAAAAAGGAAGTCTAAATATTTATCCTAAAAAGAAAGATTCAACCAAATCACTATTTTCTGAATAGTCTGCCAGGTGCTAGGAAGTAATCACAAAACAAGTACTGGATTAGGAAAGAGTTTATAGGTTAAATACACGTGTGAAATAAAACAGAATACATGTGCAAAATAGGACTGAATATAGGAAAAGATACTAGATGAAATATTACATTGTTCACAAGTCACCCACTCCAAAATGATTGTCATAATTATCAGATGTTTCTGAAGCTATCTTGTACCTGTAAGAATTCCATTGTATGTATTGGGAGTCAATTGTCTATGTTAAGACTTGATTAGAATTTGACTTTTCTTTTATTGCACTGTATAGGAGAGAAAAGAAATATGTACTGTGTTGATTATTATCACTGTATTAGGATTATACAGTGATTTATTAGAGTCAAGTTATTTCACAAACATTATCACATTTAATTCATCTGATCACCCAGGAAAGCAGGCAGGGCATGGATTATTAGATAGAAATACAACTGAGGAAACAAAAGCCCATTGAAACTTCTCTCTCAAAAGAATTTTTCTTTAAAAATACGTACTCATCTGTTACATTTAATCTAGATAATCATCTGATGCATACGAAACAGTGTCTGGAATACAATAAATGTTGACTGAATGAAGAGTAGGTCAGTTATTGGAGAGGTATTATATAAGTCTATCTCAACTATCAAAGTATTTCAGCCAACAATCTGAAATGCATCCACCAGCCATATGCCTGAAGCTATTTTTCTTGTCATCAGCGCACTTCCAATAATAAAATGGACTAGGGAGAGAACCATTTTATTTGTATTTTCATACAACATGCAGATTAGCACAGTGGTTTGAGTGGGGATCTAACCCTTGTCTGAGTTCAAAGCCTGGATCCAGCAATAACTAGCCATGAGCTTAGAGCAATCACTTAGTGTCCCCATGCCTGGGTATTTCTGTGATTTTCTTTTGGTTATGGATCACATTTTCCTGTTTCCTGGCACATCCAGTGATTTTTTATTGGATTTAGGACAATGTAAATTTTACGTTGTTGATGACTCGATCTTGTATTTCTTTAAAGAATGTTGTACTTGTTTCGGCAGGCAATTGTGAATTAGTTTCACCCTTTCAAGGTTTTGTTTTAAGCTCCTTTAGGACTGGTTTTGTATAGGGCTTATTCTTAGGCCATTTAGCTTCTTTTCTAAGGCTTCTGGGGTGTCCACTGAATGCCCTATGTTGAGTTTATCCAACCCGCAGCCCCTGGGCTGCATGCAGCCCAGGACAGCTTTTTTTTTTTTTTTTTTTTTTTGGGATAAGAGTCTTACTCTGTCATCCAGGCTGGAGTGCAGTGGTGCAATCTTGGCTCAGTGCAACCTCCACCACCTGGGTTCAAGCGATTTTCCTGCCTCAGCTTCCCGAATAGCTGGAATTACAGGCATGTGCCACCATGCCTGGCTAATTTTTGTAATTTTAATAGAGACAGGGTTTCATCGTGTTGGCCAGGCTGGTCCTGAACTCTTGGCCTCAAGCGATCTGCCTGCCTTGGCCTCCCAAAGTGCCGGAATCCCAGGTGTGAGCCACCGCCCCTGGCCTCAGGATGGTTTTGAATGTGGCACAACATATATTTGTAAACTTTCTTAAAACATTGTATTTTTGAGAATTTATATATGTTTTTTAGCTCATCAGCTATCAATAGTGTTAGCCTATGTTATGTGTGGCCCAAGACAATTCTTCCAGTGTGGCCCAGGAAGCTAAAAGATTGGACATCCCTGTCCCACATATTCAGTTCTCTTCACTCTGGCTGAAGGGAACTCAAATGACTCCTGACCCATGTTCATCTCTGGGAATCATTTGCATTACAGTTCCCTGGTACTTATTTTTCCTCAGGAATTGTGATTGGCCAGCCTCCTGAGAGTTCATACTACATGAGCACAAACCGATATGTAGCCAAAGACTCAATGGCCCCTTCGCAGGTTTCTAGAACTTTTCTATGTGCAGCTCCCTCCTTCCAGTTACTCTGCTTCACAAATTCTAGCCACCTTGATCTCTGGGAGTGCTGATTTGCGTCTTCAGTTCTAGGAGGTTCCCAGATTCTTATTTGGATTCCGACTTCCTTCTGATGTGACTGGGAATTGCTTTTATGCATGAAGTCCAAGAAATGGTAAGACTCCACTTGTTTCTCTGTTGTAGAGAATCACAGTCCTATGATGTGTTTTTCAATATCTGAAATGTCATTGCCTGTACTTTGTTCAGTTTTTCTATTTGCTAATAGTAGAAGGATGTATTCAAACCACCCTACTCTCTTGTGCCTGGAATCAGAAGTCTCTCCAATGACATTTTGCACTTCTCTCTAATCACAGATAAATCGATCTTTAACTGTGTCTCTCTGTCTCTTTTTCTTTCTTCACTCAGAAAATAACCTGGGAGACCATTTCCTTAAGGTAGATTGTAAAATATGAAGCTCCAACGTCACAACTTAATGTGTATGTGACATCCACTTCATAAGTTAACATCTGTGGGGGAGTCTGCAAAAGTCTTAGAGCTACCAACGCATTACCTACGGCGTGCAAGAATGGAAATATTAAAGAGCTAATGCAAATTGGTTATACAAACTATATTGTTTTTCTAAACAGCCTACAGGGTATTAAGCAAATCCAGACATGATAATCATAAATTAATATGGATTATTATGATTTTCCTTCCCTCATGTATGGCTTCTCTAAACTTTGGCTTTTTAACCATAAAGCCCCCAAAGAAGTAAAAAAATTACTTTTCTACATATTGAGATAAGATAGTGTGTAGTTAGGAGAAGTGAGGTGGGAAGGTGCAGCTTATTGTTGATTTTGCTTACTTTCATTCAGCTGTTGGGGATGGGAGTACAAAGCAGTTCAAATGGCTCCTACAGCTCTCCCAATTTTTCTTTCTTTTCCCTTTTACTAAGGTTAAGGAGAACAGAAAGGGATGGAGCTTTAGTGGCCACTAAAAGTTTTTAAACAGGGGAATGACTTGACTAAAATCGTTGCTTTGGGCAACGCTGACCTGAGAGTGAAGAGAGATTGGATAGAAAAGAGCCCTGAAGTGCAAAAATGAGTTTAGGTAAGGCCACTGACTTCGCTGAGTGTCAGAGGGCGGCAGGCTTTTTCCCCAAAGACCCACTGGGGACACCATGTCTTAGAGGGTCAAGACGTGGAACTTTTGGTGCAGTGGATGTGAAGGGTTGGGGATGGACATTGGGTACGCAATTATGTGTTTGCATTATGGCACAATGGAGGAGATTCGAGGGAAATATAAACACTCGGCGGGGACACAACAGCGTCCAGTTGGAAGCCATCTGCCCCAACTTGCAGCCTGCACAACCTCAGTGTCAGGGTAAGGTCCCGCTCCTTCAGTTGTCTTGGTTTTGCAAGTAAGAGAGGACTGGGCGGGCGCCCTTTCCCAGGCTCCGCCTCCTCTGGCCGCGCGCCTGCGCACTCACGTCCCGCCAGGCCCGCCCCCTCGCCTCCCCCGCCCGCGTGGTCGTCGCCACCGCTGCCGCCCGAGAGGAGCTGGGGGAGGACGGTGGCCCGCGAGGCTCGTCGCAGAGAACGCGGCGGCGATGTCCGCGAGCCAGGCGAGTGCCGCGGCGGCAGCGGCGGGGCCTCGCGCGCGGCAGGGCGGCCTGGGCTTCGGCCTCCCTCCGGTTCCCTGGAAGCAGGCCCGCGGCCAGCGCGGGAGCAGCAGCAGAGGCGGAGGCTCCAGCGCGTCTCTCTCCTCCCCCTCAGCCTGAGCCAGGGGAGGCCAGGCGGCCCAGGTGTCTGGAAGGGGGTCCGCTGCCCGAGAATGGGAATTCTCTTCACCAGAATATGGAGACTGTTCAATCACCAGGGTGAGGAGCTCGGTCCGCGGGCGTACGGGTTGGGGACAGGGTCAGCCCGGGCTGGCTGGGTGGGGGTCTCCGAATACTTCCGGAATGTGGGCACCGCAGTCAGGCGCCGGCTAGGCTCGGGGTGCAGGCTGCGCGGATGCGGGCCCGGGACCGTTCGATCCCCGAGCTTGGGGATCGTTCTTGACTCGCAGCCCTTTGTCTTAGGGGACCTTCCTAAGAAGTCTTCCATAATACACCCATTGCTCCGATTTCTATTGAGAATGGAAAAGGCTTCTTGCCATACTTCCGACGTCCCTGAGTGGCACGGCCTGATCTTTCAGCTCTTTCTTTGCCCAGCAGTTGGGTTTGGATACCACATGGAAATACTGGGGTCTTCTGGAATGAAGGCTGTAGATTGCGGCCCTAAGCGCACCACTGAGCGATCGAGGGTTGCAGAATGCGGAAAACGGGATCGCTGTACTTGCCCAGTAGTATACCTTCGGTTTATGAGCCTGCCCTCCACTGCCACCCCTCTTTGTGTGTGTTGCGGGGAGGGGAGGTTCTTCTGCCTCCTAAGTAGTGATGGACTTCTCTCCATTTGCCTTACTTACTAAACCTGTGTTTAAGGTTAAACTTAAGGTCATTTTTCTACTCGTGTGGGTTATTAGACGGTTTTTATTTGTTTTGCTGGGTTAAAAATGTTAAAGTGCTTCACTGAAAGTTTCGAAAACATACCATATGAAACATTTGTTAACCATGGATAATTAGCAAGTTACGAAGTTGTAAAGTGTGTTATATAGGGATGCTTAAAGTCAGCCAACCTCAGACATGGCCATGAAATGCATATCAGGTTTATTAAACTTTGTTACAAAATGACTGTAAAACTGGGGAAAGAGAATACGATTTTAACCCAAAGACTCGATACTTATTTAGATATAGTGGTGTACTTTTGTTTCTTTTTAACTCAAGTTGGGTGGTTCATGATTCTGCTGTCAGTAACTTAGTTTGTGTTTTTCTCTTGTGTAAGCTGGTGGTGGTGTCACATCCCAGTTTTCCAATAAAGACTTACGTGAATGGTGGCATCTATTATGTACACCTACTACTACCAGCTCCTTCTTAATGATCTAGCTGCTTTTGTAAGAAGGTAAGGGAAAGCAAGCAGAACTGGAATTTGTGATCACCGGTGTATCTTTTACACACACACACACACACACACACACACACACACACACACACACAAGTGTAGATCACGTGATACCGAAAGGGCAGTATCAGATAATTTTTCTGATAAGAGGATTTTTCATAAAGTAGAGAAAATCAGCTTTAATCAGCACTGCCTCTGAGTGGACTCACTGTTCGTGTTTGGAGTGAGAGAGTGGGACCTAGTCACTTAAATTCTCTGGATCTAGGTTTTCTCACCTAGAACACCAGGTGTCTGTGGAGCCTACAAATCTTGAAAACTGGCTTTCTACATTTCGAATATTAAAACTTCCATCGCTGTAAGACTGGTGGTACTTACGGTAGATAAGATCTGTTCTAGTTTTAACATCCATCATTTTGTATTATTTTTAGCAAAGCTAGTGTTTCATCTGCTGTGAGGTTTAGAAGGACTGCTTGTTAATTGAGCTCTAGTACTGCCAGAAAAATAGATATCACCACTTTCTATTTTGAGTCTATGATAAAATTACTTGTTTCTGTAAGTTAAGAATGAATGAGAATTTTACCAACAGCTCCTTAGAATAGTAAATAATAAGAATGTGTGCTCTGGTATCACTACAAATTGGCCAATAGTAGTGTTTTTATAACCTGTATTTTGTGGTAATTTTGGAAAGGACATTTATGTCTGTTTGGTGGAAATTAGTGGAGGAATTAATAAGTTAAGTTCTAGAAAGTTAACCATGACTATTGTGAAAATGTGAATAAGTTACTATTTTTCTGCTAAACAATGTGGCTGTCTTATCAATAAGGACACTTTTCAGAATATTTACCATTTAATCTAATGTCAGGCACTTGTTGGGTTTGTTTTTTTTTTTTTTTTTTTTCTGTTTTGGACATATATAAGTTGGATATGTCTTGGATGCTCTTGTTTTACCTTCAGTGGATTCAGAATACAATCGTATATTCTTTTCATGGAGACTCTTGGAAAGAATGTTTTGGGAGATTACAGAATTTGCCATCTGATGAAACTTAAATGATGTAGTATCTCCTGTTTCTGAAACCCCTTTAGAACAGCTTTTTCAGTTAAAGCTCAGATTGAGTGCACAGTGAAAGCTATTTGTATACTGGTCAAACTAGAAAAACCAGAGGTCACATTTAGATGATAACTGAGATTCAGTAGAGTACAAACTTTATCCTAGATGCTGTCATTTAAATCATTTTTATTTTATGTTTCAACAATCTTTTGAAGTAGTTGTTTATTTCCCCTGAAAAGGGAAAACTGAGGCTCAAGTGGAATGAAATTTTTTTCCCAGGCCATGCAACTGGTATATGCCAGAACCAGACAAGTTAAAACACTGAAGTAATGTGTTACTGATTATTGGTCTTCTTAAAGAAAAGATTGACATTATTTCTTTCCTCCTTCCGTTAATTTTCTCAGTTGCTAAACTCTAAGTTGTCTTTAGAACTTCAAAAAGTTGGTAGGGCGCCGTGGCTCACGCCTGTAATCCCAGCACTTTGGGAAACTGAGGTGGGTGGACCACCCCAGGTCAGGAGATCAAGACCATCCTGGCCAACATGGTGAAATGTCTCTACTAAAAATACAAAAATTAGTTGGGCATGGTAGCGCATGCCTGTAATCCCAGCTATTCGAGAGGCTGAGGCATGAGAATCCCTTGACCCAGGGAGTCAGAAGTTGTAGTGAGCCAGGATTGTGCCACTACACTCCAGCCTGGTGACAGAGCGAAACTCTTGGCACACACAAAAAAGGAACTTTGAAAAGTTGCCATTAACTTTTGTTTTTTTATAGAAGAGCTTGTGATCAGTGGTTTACTTGTTTTCATTAAACAATATTTTAACCCCTATTTAGTCCAGGAACTGTTCTAGGTGGTGGAAATAAGGGAGTAAAACACAAATTCCTCTGCCTTTATGGAGCTTTCATGTAGTGTGGGGAGACAGGAAGTTAACTCACTTAGAACACAAGTTTCACAAGGTTTTTGATTTAATCTTCACTTAGTTGATTTATTATTCTTCACAACAACCCTACAAGGTAGATACTATTCCCCTTATTTTATAGGGGAAAGAAACAGATAACTTGCTTAAAGCACTACAGGTGAAAGTGATAGACCTGGATTTTAACCAAGATTATCTAGTGCCAGAGTTCTACACACACACACACACACACACACACACACACACACACACGCAGGCACGCATGCGTGCTTGCACACAACTTCTTTTGTATAAGAAGGACTCAAAAAGAACTGATTCTGATGTGAACTGTGAAAGAAGTTGTGGAATTTCCTCATTAATAGCCCAACTCTCTTGACTGGTTGTTAGAAAAGGAATTATAAGTATGAATGGGTGCAGGAGAAGCTGCCTGTGCTTCAGGAACCTGATGCTGAGGAAGCCACCTCTGCTTCTGGCTTTTAAAAAATTATTATTGTTATCGTAAGGGAGTTCAAATGTGTAGAGAAGAGTACATATGGAAGCTGAGTAGCCAAGGGGCAGACTGTGCCTCTTAGCTTCTAATACAGATGCCCGTCAATTTATCATAGGATTACATCCCAGTAAGCCCGTTGTGAATTGAAAATACAGTAAGTAAAAAAATGAGTTTAATATGCCTGACTTACTGAAAATCATGGCTTTAGCCTAGCTTGCTTTATATACATGCTCAGAACACTTACAGCAGCCTACAGTTGGGCAAAATCTATCCCAAAGCCTATTTTATAATAAAGTGTTGAATATATTGTGTACTTTATTGACTACTATACTGAAAGTGAAAAACAATCTTTGTATGGGTATTTGAAGTATGGTTTCTACTGAATGTGTATTGTTTTGCACCATCACAAGTCAGAGACCATTTGTAAACCCTTTTTTTGCGTGTTCTGTGGAAGTGGAGCTGGGTCCTTTAAATGTTGTTTTGTTTTTTGGTCACCTGGCAAAATGTTAAGCTTTGTCAGTAGGCTGCGCAGGAGGTGCATTGCAGGAGGATAGGGTGTTTGTACTTATAGTGTGCTCTCTTGAAGGCCTCTGCTTGTAGCACGAACACCTTCTCCAAGGCCTGGCTCTTGTACTGTGTAGTGGTCAGCAGCAGCCAGCAACCTCCCCTAATACCCATCTTAGTTGGTTTCATAATGGAAGGTCTCCAGTGAAACACCTCTCAGTAAACAGTTTACTGAGATAAATTTTGGCGGGTCTCACTGGCACCTCACCACACTTCTCTGCCATTCAGTGAGCCACTGTCTGTGCCCTCCAACAAGGTCTGCATCTGAGTCTGGAGGGAGTGGAAGGACCTTTATCTCAAACCTAGGGGTAGTGCCTGCTTCTTATATTTGTCATTCCTATAATCCTTATAGTTGTCTTATTTCTTATTAGCTAATCTCTCATTATTCCAGTCCTCTGTAATATTTTCTTTATGTTAAGCTTTCCAAGTTCAAATTACTGTGTGATTTCTGCCTCCTGATTGGATCTCTAATTTTGCCATGTATAATCATTGCTTGCTTTTCAGCAACCTCATAGTGCAAAAGAAAAGTTTGGTTATTACTCTAAAACCTCTTTTACCAGTATTGTAATACCAAGTGTATTTTCAGACTTTGTTTTTTATTGATAAGACTTTTAAGTTTTGAAAACTGAACTTTTAATACAAAATGACTTGATCAGATACCTTCCTCCTAACCCGTTATACTTTACAGATCTGATTTATTTATTCATGAAAAATATGAAGCTCTTGCTTTATTCCAGGCTCTGTCCTATGGACTGAGAAAAACGATAGTGAACATGACAAATGGAATGTTTTGCTCTGAGAGACATAGAATTTGATATGACTTAGTGATAGTTCAGATATAAGGTAAGAATGATGAATC